CCCACTGAGCCCGCCGGCCGCCCGCCGCCGCCGCCCCACCCGCGCGCACGCGCCCGCGCTGGCCGCCCATTGGCCGAGGCGCGCCCACATGTAAATATCTTTCTGTCGCGCCTACCCATTGGTCCTCGCGGTGCCGGGGGCGGGCCGCGGGGGGGGGTTCCCGGGGCGGCTCCCCTGGGTCCTAGAGGAGGTGCAGCTGCGGCCGGAGGGAGCTGGAGCCCCGCGCGGGAGGGCTGGGGGAGAAGGCCCGCGGGGCCCGGCTGTCGGCCCGGCGGCGGTGCTGGCCTGGGTTCGAATCCCCGCCTCGCGAGCAGCGGCTACAGGGTTGCCGGCGCCCCGCTGTCGTCGCGGGGCTGTGGCGTTCATGGTCGGCCTCCGTGGAGCCCGAGTCTTTAGGCTCCGGGCACGTCTCCCGTGCGGTGCGGGTGGGTGCTGGCGGCCGGGGTGCGCGGGGCTGAAGCCTACCGGGGGCGGGGGCGTTCAGGTTGCAAAGGGCCGTCCCCTCGGGGAGCCCCTAAGGCTCCCTGGGAAGGCGGGCGGGGCCGGCGCTTCCCTCAGGGACTGGAGACCCCGAGGGTCTGCCGGGAGAAGGCACCTGCGGGCCTCGGGACTCGCAGGCAGGCGGGGGCCGTGCGGGGCCCTCAGTGCGGGCAGGGAGCGCACTGGCCTCGGCGGGGGGAGCCTCCGCCTCACTGTCGTCCCGGTGCCCGGTGCCCCGACTTCAGAGCCGCCGGCTCCGGCTCCGGCTCCGGCTCCGGCTCCGGCTCGGCGGCGAGCTCTGCACGCCCAGAACCGCCGGCGTCTTTGCAGGACAGGGTCCTGCCGCCGCCTCCAGGCCACTCTTGCGCCCCGTCCGGCCGTCTGCTGGGTCCGCGGCTCCTGGCTGCGCGAGGGGCACCCGCAGGCCGCGGATCTGGGCACTTGCCTGCGGGTTCGCCCCCTCCGCCTGGAGAAGGCTTCGGTGCGCCGCCCTTGGCACACGCCCTCGCCCCGCGCCGGTTCTGTGCCCTGGAGAGGGCGTGGGGCGGGCAGGGCCAGCGCCATGAGACAGCACTTCCTGTCCCAGGTGAGGCCACTGCATGGCCCGCTGCCCTCTCGGACCCCCTACCCCTCTCACAGTGGCCGCGGCCCCTCCTCCTCATCTTCACTCTCCACCCCGTGTCCAGCCTGCCCTCTGCCCTCTGCCCTTTCGGATCGCTCTTCAAAGCCTCTCCTGCGCCTGGGAGTGTGGACGGTTTCCCATCAGGTAGAAAGTGGGGCTTGATCACGTGCCTCCAGGGGCTCATGGGCATGAGGGCTGCGCTCTGAAGGCCCCTCGCGAGGAGTGCCCCTGCAGGCGAGGCGCCCCTGCCCCTGATGCCTGCTGACGCCTGGGGAGCGGGGAGCCTCCGCCCCAGCTTCAGCATCTGCCGCCCCAGCTTCAGCATCTGCCGCTGCCTGCCAGCGGGGTGACCTTGGGTGAGTTTCCCACCCTCCCTGAGCTTCAGTGCTCTGTCTGTAAACTGGGGGTGCTATCTGGGCTTGCCTTGTGGGGCTCCGGTAAGGGGGGAGTGAGGCCAGGGCCGTGAGGTGCTGTGCCCAGGGGATCGTGGAGGGACAGAGTGAGGGAGGGGTCTTACCTGCTCCCTGCTTCTCACTCCACACCCGTGCTTGTCTGCAGCGTGGTGGCAGAGCTGGACCCTGGAGTGTTTCTCCTCTGTCAGCTGGCACTGAATGGCGTCTGGAGGGCGTTGGGGGAACACCGGCAGGAATGGGGTCTTCTTGCACGGTCTGTTGTGCTCTCTCCCTGGGCTCCCACCCCATGTGGCTTCTCAACTCCGCCCAGGGTACCCCGAGCCAGCCCTGGCCTACAAGTCGGATGTGAATGGAGCACACAGCCTTTATTTGATTTCGGGAAAATCAAAGCCACTTTGAACAACAGGAGGTTTCGCACGCACACACACACACACACACACACACACACACACAAAGGTGCACATCCACACCCCTACACCTCCCTCTCGGAAACTCAGCCCCTGTGGCCTTTGGGCCGGCAGGCAGGCCGCAGTGAGCAGCGCAGAGCCGCGCTCCCGAGATCTGGCCTGTGCTCCCAGTTTGCCCCCGGCCTCACCCAGCCCAGTCAGCGACGGGTCTCCTGCTTTTGCCTTGCAACGGGCAGTTCTCAAATTTATCTAACTTCATGTGCAGGCTTGCCCCCAGGACCTGGATTCGGTGGGTCTGGGAACCTGCTTAACCTCTGGCGGAGGGTGCTCTGAGACACACCATCCTGAAGGGAGACCGGTGCAGGGAGCAGGAGATCCATGAGCGCTTGCGGGGCAGTCCTGGCTGGGCACCCTGGGGCCTGCAACGGCAGGTGTGGGACCAGGGCCTCTGGAACAGCCAGTGAGGAGGGGACTCTTTGCAGGCTGGCGTGCATTTTCTCTTCTGTTCCCAGCAGCCCTCCCCAATGGTACCCCTCTGCAGATGGGGCTGGTTTTGTTCCCCAGGCCTGGATGAGTTCCAGAGCCTCTCAAATCCCCTGCAAAGGTCTGGAAGGTCTGGACGAAGAGGTCAGTGGAGAGCCAGCTGAGCCCTGAGTCTGCCAGCGGAACATGCCTTATTTGACACCTGGGATCCTGGGTGCCCCACGCCCTCCCCACCCAGCGTGTTTGTGGGGCTCCACGAGGGGGCGCCTGAGACCACCGCTCAAGCTCCATGCTGGGTCAGGGAAGGGGTGGCTGGGCAGCAGGGCTCTGGGAGTCAGGGATGCCAGTGGAGTCTGGGATGGTGAGAGGTGGGGCCACTGCCCAGGAAGGGTGGCCTATGAGTAGCCGGGGTGGGGGCTGGGCTGGGCTGGAGCCTGAGTGACCCCTGCCTCCCTGAACCCTACTTCCTAGGGTGTGGGGGGAGCAGCAGGACCAGCTGGTCATTTCTGAGAGGGTAGAGATGGAGGGGTTCAAACAACCAGCCAAAGACCCCTTCTTGGACTTCCCAGCCCCTGTGGCCATGGGCCAAGACCCAGTCCCCTCCTGCCCTGTGCTGGGCCTTCCGCTGGGCTGGATGTCAGGTGGGGAGCCACGTCTGGGCAGGCTGTGGTGCCCCTGGGAGCAGCCCGCTAAGTCTCCTCCCAGCTGCTGTGGCTGGGTGAGGGGCTGCTGTCCTCAGGGTGCCTTGGGCTCCCGGACCCCTCATGAGCTGTCAGGGGCTCCCCTGGGTTCCTTCTCCCCGGTGGCGGCTTCTTGGAGGCTGTGGAGAGTGGACCAAGGTTAGGCGGGAGCAGAGCAGTGGGCTGGCAGTTCTTGGCTCACGGCGCTGCTGGGTTCTTGCCCAGGGTCCCATGGATGGGACTGGGGCGAGGGGAGCTGAGCATGTGGGAGCCCACCCTGGTGGGGCTGACCTGTTCCTGGAAGCAGCAGACACCGGGGCAGAACTGGTCGGATTGGAGGGTGAGCGTGGGCAACTTGTGCGGGGGGTGCTATCTGCAGGTGTGTGACCCTGAAGCCCATCGGGCCTCAGTGACTGGATGCCTTGCTGAAGGTCTGGGACCTTCTGGATAAATCTAACTTCTGGGGAAGTGCTCCTAGGGTGCCCACAGCACTGGTGGGTGCCTCCATGGACCTGGGGTTCAGGAGAGGGCTGTCTGTCCTTGGGACCTTACTGCCAGGTCCTGCAGAGATGCTGGGCCCTAGGCCCATCTCTGGTGCAGAACGAGCTCAAGTTCTGGGTCAGATGAATCCAGTTGGAATCCTGACCTCACGTGCCAGCTCTGTGACCTTGGGCAGGCCATCTCACTTCTCTGAGGGCTAGTTTTCCCATCTGTGAAATAGCGATGACCAGCCCTGGGCAGGCGGTGAGCTCCAAAGACAGTGGTTACATTTGCCACCTTGAACCCCGGCACGGACGCTGCCCTTGGCGCTGAGCGATGCCAGCCCAGGCGGGTCAGGGCCCTGTTCTCACTGACCAGCAGCGTGTGTGCGGCAGGGTTCGGGTTCCTGCTTGGCGGCCCCCCTCTTGGCCCAGCGGGGAGGACTAGGACCAGAGAAGACTTGGCCCCGAGTGGAGGGTGAGGTCGATGCCTCAACACCCCGTGGACTCTCGCCGCCAGGACAGCGCCCCAACATGCCCAGCGGGAAGTGGCTTTAAATCAGACAGGTGTGCTGGCCTCCCCCACATGTGCGCCAGCAAACACAGGCCACTGTCCCTTTTCCCGGCTGTGGCGGCCACAGCCCAGCCTGCCTATCGCGGGCGGCTTGCACAAACAGCAGGGCAGCATCCGTCATGAGCTCAGGCATTCGTGGGTGCCCCGCGGCCCCGCTGAGCTGCCTCTGCGGCCACAGCAGGAAGGGGAAGGTCATGCTGACGCCCTCAGGCTGGCCTGCTTCTCCTTTGCCCTCCGGGGAGGAGCCCCCAGGCACCAGCCTTGGCAAACATTCGAGGGCCCCCAGGGCCTCAGCCCGAGCAAACACCTCCGCACCCAGAGGGCTGCAGCCTCTGTGCTACTCCTCTTCGAAGGTGGGCAGGAGGGCCTGGGAGTCTCCCCTCCAGCGAGGGATGAGGAGACCGGAGGGAG